AGACCAGATTGTTGTCAAAAGAGGACAGCTGAGTTACAATCCAAAAGGCAGTTCTTAAGAATCCATGGAATTCCTTGGATTTTTTTTTTCATGTATTGCTTATTTGAAGCATTTGCTCTAGCTGGCAGTTCATTCATGAGAAGTAGTGTTTAGTAGTTACATTATCCATCTAAGAAGGGAAAGTCAACGTTCAAGTCCTAACTCAGCTATGAAACTGGCTGAATTTTGTCTAGTCACAATCTCTTTACCTATCAAGTTAAAATGGGAGATATTTACTATGCATGGCACCTTGAATTCCTTGGAGAAAAGTAGGATATAAATGCTAATGATTTTTCAGTTCCTCAGTGGCTGAAGTCCTGATCACAGCAGGGCATATAAGATCTCTGTGAGCTCTAACAATCTTCTAACAATTTTCTGAGTTCCATCTTATAAAACAGGATCTGTAAGAAATAAGGGACTCTTGGAGTGGTCTGGAACTTGGCTAAGATGAGCCTGTACAACCATGCCTTGCTATCACTTCAAAGTCTTCCAGAGAATCTTAAAAAAAAGTTGAACAGCTGTTATTCTGCCCAGTTATCTAGAATCCCTTAGAGATATATTGATGGTCTTTAATTAACTGGCTTATGTTGCCTGCCATTGAAAATTGACTGCTCAGCAGGGGAATTATGCCCCAAGCTAAGTACTTGAGAACTACTCATGCATGTATGTCAACAGTTTATCTTTGCTCTGAGATGATTTGTATTTCCACTGTTACACCAATTGATGGAAAGGCACTCAAGTTGTATGTTTTTTCTTCTATTCTTAATGGTCTGGCTGATCTCCAAAGGGAAGGAAAAGAAAGCCAATACTTGCTTTGCTCCATCAAGTTCTGGAGGCTTCTTGTCAAATTCAATCTCAGTAGTTATCCAGATACTTCCACAAGCCCAGATTCCCACTTTTCCCAAGCCCTTGCTTAACTTGCCTCTCATCTCCAACCAAGGCAACATCTACTCTCATCTCAGGCCACCTCCTGATTGTCTCCAGACAGCACACTCTAAACCTTCTGATGACTTCAGTGATGTTAATGGACAAGGAAAATATGTATTTAAATCTAACAAGAGGCCATACAAAAACTAGACAGAAGAAATCAGAATTCTTCATTAATGTTTAGTGGAAAAGAGGAGGGATGCGTAATTCCCACCATCTCTAACCTTTGATCATGCTGGATAAGAAGCAATATCTAGTAACTTTTGGAGGATTCATAATTCCCACCCTAGAAGTGATCAAATTTATTTCCTCCCTTTTCTAAAAAAGGCCACCCAAATAGTAATCTCAATTCAATGTGTTACCTGCCTGTTTAAACACACAACCAGCTTGCCAAAGTATGTTTTAATTTCTCCATTTCATAACAAATTTGTTGCATTATTTAAGGAAAGAGGAAAAGTTAAAGGATTTTAATTATTGTTAAGTTCCTTTTAGAATTTGGAACCAAAAGCATTTTTGCCAAGTTTTATTTGGGACTGAGAAACAGTGAATTGCAAGATGCGTTTTGCAGGTACCTCTTATAAGTTGTATTATGTAAGCTATTTTGCATTTATCTTTAGGACAAGAAAAATAACTGTTGATACTCAACTTCTGCTCTCTGAATGGCAATCTTGCTTATTCAGATTCCCTAGTTTTTTTCCTTACAGCTGGAATTGTAGATCTGACATTGTGTCACAAAGTCCTCCAGTGACACCTAGCGGTCTCAGCTGAAGTAGCTGCCTATAAATTCACTCCACGTACAATATTGGAATTGCAAAAGGGACTGAACAGGGGTGTTATTTCTGGGGTGTAAAACAAGAAGCAGTGATGATGACAGACATAAGGTAAGTTGGGAATCCTGTAAGGACCTTCTTATTCACTGCCTTGCCATAAGATTAGTAATTCTGACTTGTTCAAAACTTTTACATTAAACAAATGAACAGGGAATGTAACATAGCTAGGTGTTTGATACCAGAACCAGATTATATCCAAATCACAATTTTACTCTGAAAGTCACCAAGGTTTCTCACTGGGGACCTTTCCATCACCTAATTCCTGGTCCTTTTAGCATGGGATTCCAGAGATTGAACCTAAATCCACTGCAGTCAATATCTCCATAGGCAGATTTATCTGTGCAGTGACATAAACTGACAGCAACCACTTTGATAAATAGCTCTTCAAACATTTGCTGAGATGTCTATGATGAATGTTTGGTTAAGCATATCCAGAAAACTTTGGAATGCTTCATTTTGCTTCCAGGCCACACCAAACGGCCTGTTCTGAATTGGTCAAAAGCTTTCTGGATGATTTATTTCTAGGAAACTTTTGGACTACATCCAGAGTGGTTAGAACAGCATCATTCAGGACAAAGACAATACATCCTGGAATTCTCCGGCATATTCTGTCCCTGGAGGGCATTATCTGCATTTCTGTTGGAGAGGTGAATTCAGCCTCTGTTTGGCAATATCACAAACTCATAGATGGTAACTCAGCAGTAAAGCCCTCTCAGTTGGGTTGTACTCCTAAAGCAAGAGATGTAGGACTATATTCTAAAGAATCCCCAACATGACTACAATGACTAGTTACATCATTTGCTAAAGGCCAGGGAGAGTGACCCTTTGGACATTATTAAGTGAGGTACCACTTCACCAGGCAAGGCCAAGAGAGAGAGTGTGAAGTTGTATGCTCCTTGCTGAATGGCTATTAATGTTCTCAGCAGAAAGTTAAGTGGCTAAAAACTCCTGGACCTGCACAAGAGCATTGCACCTAGTCTTAAGATTCTCTTCTGACCACATGCTGTCTAAGGGAATCGCCATAGGTTTATATTTTCAAAAAGTTCTGATTTAAAATCATTGGTGATTTATCTCCACTGAGGTGATTGTCTACAAGTTGGCTGTTTCCATCAAACTATAGAAAACAGGTGTTGTCTTTGCCACTCGTTTTCTCCAAAATGACACTTCTTCAACAGGTTAGATAGATGAGTTCTTACAGATGAAAATGAACAGTCTGTACTCTTGATATGGAGCATGTTACTTATGCACAATGAGAACACACTATCCACGTGGACCTAGGTATATAGCAGAATTAAATGTGCTATAGGGAGATGTGGCATGCAGAACATGATCATTCTAGGAACAAAAGTTATACAATCCCCATTAAGTACAAATTGAAACAATGTGCACTTCCTCTTCATTAGGAAAGAACAGGCACATGACACAATTCCGGCTTGAGTAAACTGATCCCTTTCACAGTTAGCCCTCTTGCCTTCCTAAATAAGGCAGAAATAAATCTCACCTCTACCAGACCACACATTAAAACTTGATGACTACTTAACAAGCTGGTTTGACCTTTTTTGCAATTTTTAATCTCAACTTGTGTTTAGATATTTCATTTTTCCACGTAGTGGTATGATCAAAACAAACTTATATGCACGTTCAGATCATCCCCCTTCAACAGCTGAACTTTTTTATCCTTCCTCAACTCTGTCTTTAAAATGATGAACTTACATGAAGCATATAATCAAGTTAAATTTGTAGGTTATACAGTAGTTGATTCAGATTTGTTACACACTTTCTTCTCCTAGTTTATTTTGTAACTCACTGAAAAAGGAGAGTTCCCACAATACTTCTTGTCCCTCTTAATCTGCTAGGACAAGAAACACTTCTATAACTTGATGTTTACATAATAGGAAGCCCTTCATGCAAGCACAGAAATTAGGAGCTAACCACAATAACCCAACCGCTACCGGAAATTTAACATAAAGGGCAACACTTCAAAAGAACAAAACACATGTCCTTTATCAAACTAATGTTGATGATGTGCAGAACTGTGTTTATGCCACATGATGGGGAGGGGGAGAGTGCTATTAACCCATTTTATGAATCCTCAGGGCCAACATAAATTCTCTGGATCCTTGCATGCTAAAGAACAGCTTTGGTAAGTAAGACCAATGAAGTAGTCTGTAACACATAAAATGTTTTTTCATAGTTTGTTTATTTCAGTACCAGTTCAGTGAGTTTTGGAACCAAACCAATTGCTCATTACAGAAATACAAATTGTATTATATCCAAATTCAAGCAATAAGGTCCAGTCATGATCCAGAGAACCAACCATACTTGCATGCAAAAGGTGAGTGCAAACACAGTATGAATGGTGTTTTATTGGCCCATCAGCCTCTATTCTGTTCTTGCCCCACCACAATCAATATTGCGTTGCTAGCAGTTTTTGTAACAGCGCAAAGGTTTTACATAACCAAGCAGTTTAATTCACCTCAACATAATTACAGTGCAGTGTCATGCTCACCATTTGATATAAAAGTGATCAAACCGTATGATGATGCCAAAATCAACCAGATTTTCCAAATTCCACAGCATGGAAAGAGCCAAAGTTTAAATACATACTGCTTCCCTCTTTGAAAGAAAATGATATATTTGCAGTTACTGTGAGGATCATAAAGAAACCAACTATGGAGGCAAAGGAAGAATGAACATGACCTGGGCTAGGGCTGTGTTGATATAGTATCTCACTTAAAAATCTCCCTTTCAAATGATTGTGTACCTTCACACAGAACACTTAAGCAGGGCAAAGAATTACTGAGAACCTTGGATCAGAAACAGTTACTAACTCTCTAGTACAGGGCTTCTCGACCTTGGCAACTTGAGTACGTGTGGACTTCAACTTCCAGAATTCCCCAGCCAGCCATGCTGGCTGGGGAATTCTGGA